CCAGTCGTGTAGTAACATTTTACACTTTGAAGGTGCAAAACGCATACCGAGCCTGGTTACACTAGCACTCAAACTATCTAGAAAGGCTTGCAACTTACCTGGATCTTCACTTAGTAGCATTACGTCGCCTGCATAATCTAGATCAGACAGCCGGCCACCTGGGAGTAGAGTGATACCGCTATCCTCGCACGAGGATAGGGCTATTTCAAGAATTAAATCTATGTCGAAGTGAAATAGAAACGGAGAGAGGGTAACACTGGCGAACACGTTCCGTGGTGAACTCGGGCGGAAACGTGCCGTAAGCTCTTAATCGACTTCGGTAATTTGTATAAAGGGATTTTATTATGGAAAAAAAATCTCGGGCATAACCCTCAGAGAAAAGCGCCGTCAGAGTATAGAGCGGTCGACTAAGTCGGANNNNGCTCGGACTCGACTTCGGCTATTAGTATAAAGCGATCGTAATATTGAAATTAACTTCTCGGGCACACCTTTCAGGGTTTAGAGCGGTCGACTGAGTCGAAAGCCGCTTTCAGATCTAGGAAGACAGAGATGGTGGCAGTCGAAAGCCGCTTTCAGATCTAGGAAGACAGAGATGGTGGGTCTACGAAAAGAATGCCTGATATCAACTCAAATCAACGAATCTCAAGGCAATTGAAGGGGCTGGTGCCAACTCTTTATTCATGTTTGGACTTTTATGAACTTATCGAAAAGGAGTAGCAGCGCTGCCCAACGGAGAGATCTGTAGAAAGAATATTTTCATATTCGAGTCCAGAATATCTTTGATATTTTAGAATGCGATGAAAACGGTTTCGCAACTACCTGGAATCGGTTGCGACTTTCGCGTAGTCCATACTGTTGCTGTTCGGTAGTCTACAACATAGAAACGTGTCATTTGTAACCTGGATAGTTGAGAAACTATGCCCAGACATATTGCTCAAATCAAGAGACTATATTTCCATTTTACATACAGATCACATCGATTCGAAAGAGAATCATGTGAACGTGGGTGTGAAGATGAATGATGACAATCCGTGGATGAGCTCAAGTGGTGAAACTTACCAGCCATTTTCGAAACAATGGAAACTGAGTACTACTAAGGCGCAATTGATCCGCATCAAGACAGTGAAACAAGGAACCCATATTAGGTTGATGAAATAGCACAGGCTTCACAAGAGAGACACCAGACTTGGCCTCTGGAAAACGATAATGCCGTCCGACCGTCGGTCCCCAAACCAGTGGCACAGGGGGCGAGTTTCTAAGGAAATAAAACAGTGTGCCCGATTAGGTGTATATGGTAGGGGAGGCGAGAGAACGAGTGGAAAGAGAAATAAGTAGTGTCCCAATGCGCTGAAAAAGAAAAGGTGGTCTGTTTAAAATAACAACTGGAGAGTGTACTTGAAGTATATGATTGGCTTATAAATGTCATTATATTATTGTTCTGCGAACAATATGCCAGAGAGATTAATAACTCGATAGGTACCGTAAATTTATAATGACACAGGTTTTANGCTTGCAACTTACCTGGATCGCCACTTAGTAGCACAATGTCGTCTGCATATTCTAGGTCAAACAGTGTGCCACCTGCAAGTAAATCGATACCACTACCCTCGCACGAGGATAGGGCTGTTTCAATAATCAGAATATGACAAAGTTAAATAGAAAAGGAGAGAGAGGGCAACCCTGTCGAACACCACTTTCCGTGGTGTACTCGGGTGAAAAAGTGCCCTACTTAAATAGAAAAGGAGAGAGAGGGCAACCCTGTCGAATACCACTTTCCGTGGTGAACTCGAGTGAAAAAGTGTCGTAAGCTCGAACTCGGCTTCGGCTATTAGTGGTTATAGAACGGGTTTTTCTTGCTTTCAACTTGGTGCAGGAGCTGATATGAGACGTAACACCTGAATAAGGCATGTGTTGGTAACCAACTGCTGAAACACACTAGGATATGAATTCTTCTTCTTTTATGTGACTATCAATTCGCGCATTTTGATTCGAAGGTTTCGTGTACTCAAACATATACTTAAAACCCACGCTACGATTTGCATAGCACCGAGATTTCAAATACATTTTATTGGGAAAGTGGAGCATTTACGAACCCAATCGAGTTAAAACAAAACAGAAAGGTAGATAGTTTTATGCGTATGGATTGATTTGACCGTAAATTTATCAGTCGAAAAACTTAATGAACAAAACACGAAGTTGTCCCAATGATTGTTGTTTGGTGAGCACTATGATGTAATGCGTTTTACGTTCAAATCAGAATGTAAAAGTTTTGACCAAGGTATTCCCAATCCTCCGTTTAACAATGTGATGCATTAGGGATTACAGACCAGTGAAGTGGGAAACCAATGACACTTACAATTCGCTGTATACTTCCAATGTGATATTTGTGCTCGCGCCAGGGCCAATTTCGAACCGATGTGGTGTGATTGACCAAGTGGAATCGGACGTGTCAGTTTGCTGGCGGGAAGAAATACAGCCAAATGGAGGAATAGGTAATTACTCAAAATATATGTATTGCAGAGATTGCAGTAATAGGGAACCATCTTGTCATGTTCAAATGACTGCATTTTAATACTTCCTTGACAATCAGAAACACATACAAGATACTCAGAGAATAATCTTCTTTCACTGCTTATATATTTTGCACAGGGTTTTTCAGTCTAATTTTGCTAAAGTTATCGCCAAACACTCGGTTTGGTTACTGCCCTTTACCACTATACATTTGATTGCTCTTTCAAAGTGGGCATATAATGAATGAGAAAGTTCAAAACGAAGGACAACGGTACGTAAATGGTTGCAAACCTTTTTGGATATGCCTTACCTTTGCTTCACTCAGAGACCGGCGTCTAACTGAATTTCCCTCAATGGACCAGATTAATTGCTGTTGCCGCCGACCACGGTTGGTGATACGAAATACGTGTCTGGCGACTGCAGAATTGAAATACGGACCCAGATGCATTGTGGATTGCATCACAGGTTCCGTCGTGATTGTTCCACCGCTGCCGGTTGCCGTCAGTTCAATGTATCTTGTAGTCTTTGCATCCCCGACGTGCACTTGTAATTGATCCCGAAAAATGACCGTATCATCCGGTTTGGCGACTACTGAAACTTCCAGACGGCATAGCGGTGGAATTGTCCCCATAGTTGGTTCTGTTGTATAAATACTGTCTGTATTGCTCTAAAATTCCAAATGGAAATGAGTTAACCTAGCACTGTTGAACTTATGGTAGTTATATAAGAAACTGTTTAACGAACGTATCAACACATGGGTTTTTAACTCACTGATAACGAGCCTGTTATTACTTATATGCGGAAAGATGTAATCAATATTTTTGGTATATATTTTGTCAAACTAAAGCAAATAAAAAGTTTTCTGATTACGTCTTTATACAGTATAATCACTTTCTAGATTTGGTCATGATTAAATTATTCGTTCTCTTGGCAATTTAAAAAGAACCTGGTACGAGGGTATGAAAACCCTAACCAGGAGTCTAGGTCACATAGCTCTCGTTAGGCTCCCTGGTTGGGGACCTCGGGATGATCGTAACCGATGGTTCCAGTCACTGAGTAATATGGCTGTGTCGTAAACAGTGGCGTTCTCGCATCTTCTCAATTTCTTTACAACACTAGTCCACTGAAATTCTCCATTTTCTATTCGACTGTACTTTCAACCTTTCGGTCTTTCTCCCACAGTTCATGCAAATGGACAGTCTAAAGAGAGCAACCAAAACCGTCGCACGAAAGTGCATGGTAAATGGTTGTTCAACTCCAAACCGAATTTAAAAAGCAGCTTTCGATTCCCATAAAACAGGATGGTGGGGATGAGCTCAATGACACCTTTCTTTTTCAAATTATTAGCACTCATTTTCGAGCAAAACGAATGCCCAATATTTATTTCCCGAGATACCTGTTTAATGTCTGATAGATCGACGCACCTTCTCACTGAACTCCTTCATTTATTTGCATCCATTCTATCCAACTATGGTGAGAGTTCTACAAAGAAGGACCTGTTTCATATCCAGAAAAACACAATAAGACCGTGATGATTTAATAATGTTGTTGATTCTGCTTAACGGAATTTTGGTTTGATTCCTGTTTTCATGAGTAATTTCAAAGCTGACAATTGAGCCGTTTACGTTTGCTTTCATGCTTCGGTTACCGAATTCCACAGGCCGACTTGACTGACGCAAATCCTATTGGCCGTGCAACCCGTTCTACACACACACGCATCGCTTGGGCGGTGGGGGCCCGGTGGTAACGTCACCAAATTATCACCCCGAGGATGCGTGTTCAAATCCCACCACAGCCGTCTGACTTTCCCCATTGTGTGTTGAATGGCAGCCCTCTGATTGGCCGCTTCCCCCCTTCCTGAAAATTGTATCACTTAGTACATTCAATAAAACAGAAGTAAAATGCAAAGAAGAGAAAGAAGAAAAGAAATGGGCTCATCATCACCATTTGACCCAATCCATTGTGCACACATCCCTCCACTCCATAAAGCGGTGTGGGATGCCATCGCCACATCAGCTACAGAGAAACTCTCCCAGGATTTAATCAGCGGTTTGATCCAAACTCACATGATTGTTCACTGCAAGTAATTGCACTTAATCAGAATGCTTATATTAACAACTTACCGGTTGTAATGTAAACACTGCCGGAATGATTGACTCGTTTGTTAGAGTAATAGTTTTGGTGCTGGACTGCAGGACTGGAATTACTCCCCAATCTAGCCTAGTCGGTTCGATGTAAAGTACAGGTCCCTCGCCAACACAAGTAATCGGAACTGCCTGTAAAAGATATTATGTTGTGCAACGATTTATTCACTCGTGAACTTGAAACAACTAAAAAATTAATTAAACGCACTAAATAATGAATCTGAGAAAAAAGCTGAAAACTCACCCAATAGTGGTGCATGAAACTTATACGAAGTTGAATAGACTTGGACTTTTTTACTTTCATCTAACATTGGTGATGAACAAAGAATATGCGTCTATGTAAGATTCATTGACTGATTGACCGAAAACTCCTATCACAAAATTTCAGCAACTGCAATATATTTGGACTAAATGGACAACTTATATAACTAATACGGTGCTCTCGAAGGATGGAGAAGTTTCTCATTTGCACGATTCAGATGGACGACATAGGACAAGCATGATATTGCAAATTAAGCGTTATGCCGTGCCCTATTTCGTGGATTACCATTTTTATCTAATGCCCCAATTTCTATGGAAGGATGATCATTTTTTTATCGGTTGAATGTCTATCCGGAATCCACGACCTGTTCTTTTCCTTGTTATTCGCTTACTATCGCGGTAAATAGTGATCGTATGTTGCTTATTGGCCCTGCATTTTTTAAACGATTTCGATTGAGTCACGTTGTTTAAACCAAAACACAATCTAATGCCTCCATCCATTGACTCGTGCTCATAATCGAATTTCTCTGATTGCGCTTCACTAATTCAATTGGAAGTAAAGAAGTGCTACGTTTCGTGTGAGGTCTTCACCGCGCAGCGCAAACCAAGATTATTGGATGCATAGAAAATAGGTATTGTTGTCAATGCGAAGTTCCCCTATGGGATAAGTTGGCAGTTTCTGTGAAAATGGAACAAGGGACCCAACGTTTAGATATGAAAGGTGAAAATCAGAGTAATCTGCCAGTGTACATGTCGTTCTCCCCAACTATAATCTTTTAATTTTAAGTGTATTCAGCAATCGCATTCTACAGGGAAACCCACAAGGTGAATGGTGCTTCGGCCGTCACACATCACCTATTGGGCCGGGTCTACCCGTCGACCCGGAATGAACTATTGACTCCATGGACAAACAAAAGTATTTTTTCCGTTAGCTACCGAATGAGAGCGAAGTATTGGGCGATTCGGGATCTGACGGTTCTCTCCCGCCCACCGGCCGTTGATCGAGTGAGCTTTATTGACAAGAATGAACGTACTCAGCCTTGATTGATCTTGGTTGGTTGGGTAGGAAAAGAGTCACGTCAAGATGGAACGATAAATACCAGGTGATTCACTGAGCGGGAAACACGGTACTGAGTAGAATTTTCAGTTCATTTACACTTTTAGCCGAAGAAATTATGTCAAATGCCTAAACGTGATCATAACTCACAACCCGTCCACCTACCTGCTCCTGAATCGTCATTGCATCTGGCCTTTCACAAGTCAGAGTTGTCAGTCATTGCACAATGAACATTACAGACGATGATAAAACACATTTGGTCTGACTGAAAGCGTCCTGTCTTAATCCTGACAAAACCAAAATTTTTTAACCGTTAAAAAACGCACGGAGTGTTTTCTTCAAACCGGATCGGTTCAGAGTGGAACAAATAGGTTCCTGAAGAAGCCAGTGACTAAGGAGGAGTTGAGAAATAAAGGGGAAATCTTTGTCTATAAAGGTCAAGCTCAGCTCAGAGAAGAACAAATGTCACTAATTTATTCCTCTTTGGTGGTTGAACAGAAAATTAAGTATAATGGATGGAAAGGAACCAACAAGTTATGATTGAAACCTCCTCTGGATAGCACTTACACAATGTTTTCATGGTACCACCAGACGAAACAGAACGCAGGTTTAAAGAGAAAGATTTCT